TAAGGCTTGATGGAATTTTTTTTATTTTTATTTACAGAGATACCGGTGACCATTTTATGTCTAATTCTGAAGAAAATAAAATGGTTGTAGTTTAAAGAAAATACTTCATGTGAACATACTTCATCATTTGTTTTCTTTCCCATCGATACACAGGAGTTTCAGAAACTGCTGAGATCGAAAAGGCCCATATACGACGCCACGTTGAAGAGCGGCCGCGGCCTCCATGAAAAGGCACAGAGCGGCCATGACAGGCAGCATCTGGAAAACCTGCTGGCCGAACTCAGAGACACGTGGGACACTATTGGTGGCAAGTCTATCGAGAGGTAGTAAAACTGAAAGAGGACAAGGTCATAGTTCTACCTGCTGATACGTCTGGTTAAAAAAAAAAAACCCAAACAAAACACTGTTGTTACTCTGATTTCTGTCTTTAAGACAACATAAGCTAGAAGAAGCTCTGCTGTTCTCGGGAAGATTCACTGATGCTCTGCACGCGCTCAGTGACTGGCTGTACAGAGCAGAGCCTCAACTGGCTGAGGATGTTCCTGTTGGTGGAGACAAAGACATGGTCACCAATCTCATAGACAAACATAAGGTACTTCTTAATGCTGCACAGCTCTCAAAGGTCTTGCTCATTCACAGATTTCATACATTAATTGATACCACATGATCTTCACCAATCCGGTCTTCTGGGGAATGAAGGTTGTGTCTTTCTGTCTGTCAGGCCTTCCAGAAGGAGCTGGGAAAGCGAGCCGGCTGCATACGGACCCTGAAGCGCTCGGTGAGGGACCTGACCAGGAGCAGCACCGCAGACGCTCACTGGCTGCAGGAGCAGATGGAGGAGCTGGAGGGCCGCTGGGACGCCGTGTGCAGACTGTCAGTGAGCAAACAGGACAGGCTGGAGGCGACGCTGCAGCAGGTACAAACTGCTTTGGTTTCGCTCTGCTTGGTACTACATCAGATTCATTCTCGTATTGGGATTTCTGTAATGCGAAAAGCGAACTGAGTTTTGTAAACTTATTTGAAAACGATATTTGGAAGTGAATGTTTATTAAAAAAAAAAAGACATCCCTTCACTTTATTTGCGTTTTGCAACACTAAAAGCAACAACTTTGGTGGGTTTTGTTGGAACTTTGTACGGTTCAACAACACAAAAGGCAAAAAGTAAAATAAAGAAGTAAATAAAAATCTTAAAAACGTGGCAAGCATTTGTATTTGCTCCTTTAACTTTGATGCCTCTAATTAAAGGCCAGATCGTTGACTGCCAAAATAATGCTGCCTGTAATTTACTTTGGAAGTCAGAACTTAACAATTTAACAGCGTTGATACAGTTAATATAGTTGAAGTTGGGATTCTATTATAGTGAAAGAGCAGCCATTGTTCATAGCAGCTCTTATGACATTGTTAATGAGCATATTACTGCATCTGAACGGTCATGTCAAAGTTGAAACCTTGGCATGAATTGGAATCTGTAACAAGACTTGAAGAAAAATTACCAATTATTTCAGTGGTGACATATGAAGCTGGAAGTGACACAACTCAAATATATTGTCTGAGTCATTAGAAATGTTAGCCACCAATTAAATTTTTATTAAAATATGTTTCATTTTTTTTACTTCACAATTATCCACAATGCGTTAATGTGCCACGTGGTATCAAAGTAAAACACCCTGAAGTTTGTTGTTCTAACAGGACAAAATGCAGATAACATAGAAGTGGCGTGAACATTTTTGCGCGGTACTAAACGTGTCTCATTATTGCTAATTGTACTTATGATTAGCAATAACTGTGCCTGAGGATTTCTATATGAAAATCTGACTCCCCTGAATGTGTGTTTTCCTTTTGTCTCCAAAGGCTGAGAGGTTCGATGGTCTTGTTCACTCTTTCATGGAGAGGCTCACAGAAGCAGAGAGGATCCTGAAATACGGGGTCATACCAGAGGAGGAGAGTAGTTTGCTTGCCTTCCAGAAGCAACACGAGGTCAGTGTAACCAGATATAGTGGCGTTCCCAGGAGGAGACATTTCTTTTCCCATCTTATTTGCTCCAGAGAGTCTCCTACTGAATACGCAATTGTCGATAAGCTCAAGGACAGAGAAACCAGGTGGCGTATGAAAATCAGAGCGGACTTTTTTTCTCCACATTAATCGTTTTGTCGTGTGTGAGAATATCTAATAGCAGCTTGTTTTAGACATTTTAGCGTAAAAGCTTTTGGTGTTGGAAAAATAACTAGTGAAATGAATCAGTTCTTTGTTCCCGCACAGGAGTCACTACGTATCTTACACGCTCAAGAGGTGGAACTGGAGAACATCCAGAATTTGGGTGAAGAGATTCTGGCCTCTTGTCACCCAGACTCCATAATAACCCTCAAATCTTGGATCAGTGTCACCAAGACTCGCTATGAGGAGGTGAGTGTCTTCATGTCACAATAAAAACTACAGATGCACTGATCAGAAATTTGCATTCAAATTCCAATCTGTTTTGTTAATCTTTAACGTCAGGATACAGATTTCTCTTAGAGAGCTATAATCAATCAGAGGATGCAAGAAATACATAGAAATTATTTTTTATCCCTTCTGCCATTAGTAGTGATTATGATTATTTATATTCCAAAACAGATGTTGAAAGCTTCTATTATTATCCACTGAAAAGCTCTTTCTCAACCTGAATGACTCAATGTTTAGCTAGAATCTTCCTATAAATAGCTCCATAATTTTATACTTCAGTTTTGAACACTGAGTTTTACTTAAAATAGCTAACCTGAATGTTCTTGTCTCAGTAACAGCATCCACACCCATGAGTGTTGTTAGCATGATCTATAAGCAGTTACTTGGTCGGTCGGTTGGGCACCGTAAGACCAATCAAGCTGAAAACCTTTCCAGTCATCAAACAATTTCTCACAATGCTTCTCTATTAAATACACTTTGACTGACATTGAAATCCAAGTCGCTGTCATCTATGACACAGTTTGAGCGTTGGCGAATTGGAAGCCAACTTCAACTCCGTACAAAACAGCATGTTTACGATTGGTGTGACGTTGGATTACAGTATACTCTGTCTAAAGAACATGTCAAGGCAACTAATATATGATGCTTACAGACATTGCATGTCAACCATTTTTCTTGATGGATTCCTTTTAATAAAAAGTATGAGTCAAAGGAGAGCAGACTAAGCATGCTAGATACCACCCTGTCCAAGGCTAATGCCTGCAAATACAATGATAATGTTGGCCTATTCATGCTAGTGGCCAGCAGAGGGAGAAGGCAATCCAGTATCTGACCAGCCTTGACATGCTAGTTATTAGCATATCCAAAGCTAATGCAAGTGAGTAGCCACCTTCTCATTTACCAGGGCTGACCACTCTGTTATTGATATCGGCATATTATTAGTCAGATCAGATTCGGAATGGATAAAGACAACTGCAACAAGGACATAGCCACCACTGGGTCCGCACTAATCTTATTTTTGGCATTGAAACCTAACCCACAATTGACAGCAATAGGCTAATTGTTTTAAGACAATCATTGATCCAAAAACCACTAATGGTAAACGTAAGCTAACCTTTAAGAAACACTGTCGTTACCTGTTTTCGGAGGCAGGTTCAGACATGGGCCCAACAGCAAGCTCAGAAGATCCAGGCCAGTTTGGCAGCACTGGAAGAAGAGAAAGAAGAAGTCCAGAGACTTTTGGATTGGATCTCATCAGCGGAGGAGTCTCTCATCCTCAGAGAGGAAGAGCCTCTGTCTGAGACAACAGAGCAGAACCAAGAACTTATTGAGCAGCACATGGTACAACCCCTTCATTCCTCTGCACTCTGCCTAGGACGCAAACTTACTAGGTATCGCATCACAACATACACATGTCGCTATGTAACAAGCTTTTCATTTGCTCTCGGCAGGTGTTCACGGGGGAAATGAAGAAAAAGTTCCCAGAGATCGAACATGCCACGAAGTCCTGCAAACACAAAAGCCTTCCTAAACATCGAGGTTCCCCCATCAAGCGGCCGTTTGCGAGTAAGAGAGCTCTAGCGACTGCATGCAATCAGTGAACAAATACACAACCATCAAATGCAAATGCATGTGTCACATGTTTTGTTGTACAGAGAGGAGAAGCACTATGAAGCTGCCGCCTGTCATACCGGTCCCCTTAGAGCACCTGGACCCTCAGACTCCGCAGCTCATTCAGCTGGTCAGGCAGTGGCAGAAACTTTGGCAAATGGCCGTGGCGAGACAGAATCGCTTGGAACAACACCAGCAGATGCTCAGAGAGGTCCTCGCTCTTCCCTTCTAAAAGCACTGATAAAAGATGTTTTCTTGCTTGAGTACAAGAATATCAGCTGTTTTCTCGGGAACACTTTGCTTAAAGGTCGCCATGCTTTGTTTATCTCTGCAGATGGAGGAATTTGCCAACTTTGACTTCAATATCTGGCGAAAGCGTTACATTCAGTGGATTAGTCATCTGAAGTCCCGGATCCTAGACGTGTTCCGAAGCATCGACCGGGACCAGGACGGGCGGATCAGCCGGAAGGAGTTCACCGATTATGTCCTTGCCTCCAGTAAAATTCTCATGCCTGTTTTTTTTCTTGCTCACCTCCAAACGATGACTTCAACAATGAATCTTAAAGGAGCACATGTCTTTTGTTTCCTACGTCTTAATAGAATTTCCGACCAACTCTCTGGAGATGAACGCAGTGGCAAACATTTTCGACTTAAACAACGACGGTTTCATTGACTACTATGAGTTTGTGAGCGCGCTCCATCCTAGCAGAGACCCCTACAGGAAAACACTGGATGCAGATCAAATTAATGAAGAGGTAAGCACAGAAGCTGCATTAAAGCTTCAATGTGAAGCTGGGTATTTGTCGTTACTGACATGGGTTTTCTTTTTTTCCCTCCATAGGTGAGTCGCCAGGTATCTCAGTGTAACTGCCCCAAGAGATTCCAGGTGGAACAAATAAGTGCCAACAGATACAGGGTGAGTCCTTTTAATTGACCACAGTATTTGATTTATATGGTCTGTCTGACCAATCAAAGCTTTTTTAACGCAATTTCCAAAAGACATAAAGTTTGAAGGTTAATTTGCTGTTTAATCTGACTCACAAAAAGTATTCACACCCCCTGAACCTTTCCATATTTTTGTCTGGTTATAATAACAAACTTCATTGTATTTATGTGATGGAATTTCACAGTGCTGTGCGTGTTTGTGTAGGAAAATGTGGTCAACACCATTTTCCATGCAAATTTATATATGTATTCAAGCAATTCAACCTCTGCTTATTATTATTATTATTATTATTATTATTATTATTATTATTATTAGTCAAAATAAATGGGCGCTAGTTTATTTTGGCACTAATAAAATGGGCATAAATGGGCAAAATAAAGTGATAATCTGTATTTTGCATACAGATTATCACTTTATGCAAAATTATAATAACAAATAAAATAAAAACAATTGATTATTTTTGCCTTACGCTGCTCAAGACAAAGTTAGTTAAACACGTAAAATTCCTAATAAAAATACAATAAACAATATTTTGGTTGTAAATGAAAAAAAAAAAATAGCAAAGCAGTGTAAGCTTTTAAAATGACATTATCTGCCCTGCTTTAATCTGCCATGCGTTCACTTGTGTCACTATGTGAATTGTTATGTGCTTTGTCTCCCCTGTGTGTTTTGTTGCAGTTTGGAGATTCCCAGCAGCTGCGGATGGTCCGGATCCTGCGGAGCACGTTGATGGTTCGGGTTGGAGGAGGCTGGACGGCGCTCGATGAGTTCCTGGTTAAGAATGACCCGTGCAGAGGTCTGCCTGACTCATACATAGAGATGAAAAAGAGGAGTTGGAAACAAAATGAAATACTAAATCCATCTAATGATGACTGAACTTATGCAGAAATATTTTTAAATGGTATTTTAGGATAGAAACTTTAGTCATAAATGTGTTGCTTTGGATTTCCTTAATAACTTCTATTTTTAAATTTCTATAAACTGATTATTACATCATATATCAATCTATAAGAACATTCTTACCACATTAATTCATTAAATAAATAATGTTATGTTTTCTATTTAGAATCTAAACCTGTTCTGTCATCAAATCATGTACTACAAATCACCTATTGTTAACTAACAATAGGTTTGATTAATCACTGTCTATGTCCCAAATATTTTATTATGACAAGCAAATAAATTATATGATCCTAAATAGCTCATATGAAGTCATTTTGAACACTGAAACAATTTTTATGGAAGTTATGAATACAGAGTAATGGAGGCTACAGAATTTAGTGAAATTCTCCTTCTCTCTCATCAACAGTCAAAGGTCGCACCAACCTGAAGATCAAAGAGAAGTACTTGTCACCGACAGGAAGCACCACCAAGGGTCTGAGTGTGAGCCGGTCCAACTCCAGCCTGAGCCTCTACAGCAGTGCCTCTGCCCCCACCAGCCCCATGACGCGCAAGGCAAGCTTCCAGCCCGATCCATGCGAACCCAGCATGGTTCCAAACTCAACGACCACAAAGAAAAAAAACATTGCAGCTTCTACCGGCTCTGTTTCTAGATCAGGGCTGGACAATAAATCTGTGACATATTAATAGATAGACTCTGGATCAATATTAATAGAAAAAAAAACATCTGGCAGAATATTCACTATTCAATACATAGAATATTCACTGAACTCCAATCCAAAACCGTACAGCAGGGGTCCCCAAACTTTTTCCTGCGAGGGCCACATGACTGTTCCCTTTTGTGGTCGGGGGCCGGTCTTAGTTTTTCGAGAAAGAAACCTTAGAAAAGTTTTGTTGACGGGGGGGCTGGATTACTGCCGATGACATATTAGCGTTTGTAGATAGATTTTTACCCAGAATGCAAATGGAAAAAAAACGTGAGTGAAACGGTGACTGGTACTGACTAGTATATATTCCATTGAGGGAAACTAAGTTTCATATCTGCTCAAGAGCCCCCCTGGTGGTTGAAGAAAAATCCACATATATATGAAAAAAAACACTGAATGGTTTCTGGTATTGTTCAGGGGGCCAGACCAAATGAGGAGGCAGGCCGGATCCGGCCCACTGGCCATAGCTTGGGGACCCCTGCCGTACAGCATTCTGGGAGATGTAGTCAGAGAAAAGGCTTTAGCTGCTTAATGTCAATGTAAAAAAGTCCCCTGTATCTCTAAATAAAAAAAAATTTAAGTGTTTTCCTGTAAAACGGTTTTTAAAAAAACTTTCTACTACAACTACTGCCACAGCTCTGCTAACTGGTTTATCATGTCTGGCCTTCAGGCATTACTCCGCCGCAGTTTCTCAGGTGACCGGTGTATCCGTCCTCGGAGCTCCATAGCAGCTCTGGGGTCTGAGCTGCAGTTTGTCGCAACGGGGGAAGACAACTCCCCCTCACCCTCAGGTTAGGAAATCTGTTTTTTTTTTTTTTTTCGCGCCTCTTCTGGAGTTTCTCCATTCTCTTTTGTAACATAGGGTGAGGTAACTCTCTCTGTCTTTCGTTTTCAGATGAAGCTGAGAGATTACCCACATGACAACCTCTTGTTCCTACCGCAGCACTCCACCAAAGCAAAGCTATCAGAGCATCGAATCGCCGTCTCAAGCAAAAAACAACAAACAAAATGCCGTCTTAAAAAGATGGTCCTGAAAAGTGATGATGGATATTGACTGCGACTGTACGGGATCTGCATGAAGACGGTGCAGATAACGGGAGAGAGTCCGTCCAGGGGGACAAGCGAAAACCTTTTTTTCCCACTTTTGCCATTTTATACATTAACCCGATTACGTAGACTGTAGAAAGTTCTGCATGAGCAATAACTGCATGGTAGCCAGAGCCTTCCTCTTTTCAGAGCTGCTTTCGTTCAGTTTCACTCTTTCGTGCTTGTGATTGTAAGCTTGGGCACACAGTACCTGATCATCGCAGTGACTTGCCAAATCGACAAAATGAGTAAAACTACGGAGGTCAGCGTGAGAAGCCTGTTTTGCTGTCTGATCCTCTTTGAGTGTCCAAAAAAATGATTATTAGATGTAAACATACCAAAACCACTGCGTAACTGCAATGCTGTTAAAAATGAATTGGCCAAGACAGACTTCTGATTTTTATTTTCACATTAGAATATTTGAGAGCATTAAACTCATCGCAGATCATCAGATTTACTAAATAAGACAGAAATGGAACTGAGTGACTACAAAATACAGTTAAAATGGGGGTTTCATTTATTAAGGGGAAAAGCTACTGAAACCAACTTGGTCCTGTACGAACAAAAGTAATTATACACTAATTATTATCTCTGCCATCCTGTAAAACAACAACCACTTCAAGTATGCAAGAACCATTGATGAGTCTTTTTATATTAATGTGAATGGATTTTTGCCCACTCTTTTGGATAATGGCTGTCACTGTGGCTCCATTGTACGGAAGTCTTTAGCTGTCAGAACTCTGAAAAATACGCAGGAGCAGTATCTCATTAAAAAATAAAATAAACTTGTTAAAACAAGAAAGTTTCTTGTTGTAAGAAGATATAAAATTATGTTCATTTGTCATATTACAATTAGGTCCCCTCTTCATCTCCATCTTCTAAGTGTGTTTCCTTTATGCGTCACTGAAACATCCTTCACCTTTTCGACCTTTCTTGTTTAAATGAAAACTCGATTTAATGAATCATATATCTCAAATTTTATGTCTTGTTACAAGAACCTTTCTCGCTATATTGACTTTTATATTTTATAGTGAGAAACGTTTACGTTATACCAATATACTGCTGCTGTACTTATTTCCAGTTAAATGTTTCCCTACGAAACTTCAGAAATGACTGTGTGATTGGTTTTATTGATTCTAACAGCAGTGACTAGTGAAAATACACTTAATCACACAACTACATCCATGATTCAATAAGACAGGGTTGATTACTTTTTCACATACGACCAATTACATTCCGGTAACTTTTTACTCTTTATACATAAAATTTTCCTTTGGAAGCAAAACTTTGTGTTTATTCAATCTATGTGTGTCTGATATCTGAATTTGCTTGATGTGAAACATTTAAGAGTGACATAAAAGCAAAAAAAACAAAAAAAAACTTATTCTTAAGTTTTGTAATGATTTTCATAGTATAAGGACAATGCTTGTTGGCAGGACCACGTTGTGATTTTGTCTTCTACCTTTTTACATGTCTTCCAATGGTTTTACATTTTGCGTTTTATACACTGGAGATAGCGTGACGAGCTGTGCACTGAAATACAGCGAGCCACCGTTGATCTGTAGAGATTATTTTCTCAGGAATGGTTCTGCCTGTGGATGGAAGTGTTTCTTTTTTAACGTTACTGTGAACATTTAAAGCTACTGCTTTCTTTATAGCGCTGAATGCTTTTCTAGAAAAGTTTCTGTTCTAGCACATTGTTCGTATGAATATGCACTTTTCTGTGTCTGTCTGCTGTGTGTGTGTGTGTGTGTGTGTGTGTGTGTGTGTATATATATATATATATATATGTGTGTGTGTGTGTGTATGTGTGTGTTATATATATAACACATATATGTGTTGCTTTTTTTAATTTTCTTTTCTTTTTTTTTTCTTTTCCGAATTTGGCATTTGGTATTCAGATGAAGAAATGAAGATTTTTTTACAGCTTTGTTTGACGAGAAGTGGACGGAAATGGGCTGTAGACCATTTCCTTTTTTAAAAATTCTGTTTTTTTTTTTTTTTTTTAGCAAAAATAATAGTTTAAATATTTCACTTGACTTGTCTAACCTAACATCCATTTAGAAATACTCACCCCAGCTCTCTGTTGTTAATCGTGTCCAGGAAACGTGTAACAAGCTCTCTTCAAAATCACTAATAATCCCAGGAGAAGACAGGTGTGTGTTGTTTGGGTAGAAATGGTGAATTATGTGATGTGCTGTGTCTGTTTTATACTCTGACCTTCCTTTGGAGCTGCAATGTGTTATCAACAACGGATCTGCTTTATTTGTAAGGGTTGCTTTCCACTTAATCTACCTGAGGTTTGTGACAGTTGCTCCTTTTACTTCTAGTCTATGCAGCAGACCATAAAAAAAAAAAAGAAAAAGAAAATCTTTTTAAGGTTTGGACGTTTTTACATGATGATCATGTCTGGACTTCAGAATACTCTGTTTGGTACAAAAACAAAAAGCCAGCTTCCTGTCCTGTTGCTATGCACCCAAATCTTCCTGTACTGTAACGGTTTCCACATCCAGCACCCAGTCGGGCTACACATTTAGGGACTATTATGTAGATGATACTCACTAATCATTTTACATTGACTTGTACAAAACTTGTTTTTGTAATAAAATCAAAAGTTTTTGTGACAGCTTTTAATATCATGTTGTGTTATTTTCCAGAGACGCATCCTAATCGAGAATAAACCAAATAATGACAGCAAAAACAATTTCCACTCAGTCAGGATAGATTTTGAGCATCTTTGAATTCATCCCAATGGAAATTGCCATTACCCCTATTCTCTAAAGATATTTAAGTATCTTTAGAAAGTTCTTGTGGATGTTGATGCTGTGGACAGGAAGGACAAATTAAGACAAAGTAATGCTTCTTCCTTAATTCTTTATCTTTCTCTTTATATTAAATCCATTTAATCCTTTAATCTTAAAGAGACTCCACAGCTTTAGGTCTCTACCAGCCATTACAGTATATAAACTTAAAGCTTAACACCAAAATATCCTACTTATTTCTTATTAAACACTTAGTATGCTCTCCACCACCATCGCACAGCAAAACAGAAAGATTGTGTCTTCCAACACCAAAGGTCTCTTTAAGTAGAGGAGGCTGAAGGTCAAACGGGTTACGTATCTTTTTTTTTCAGTGTTGAAAATCCCCATGGGAGAAATTTAATCTGTGAATTCCCAGCTCAAGCTGCCCTCCTGCTGATGTGTTAACCTTACAGATGTACCCATACAGAACAAACAGTGCCAAAAAACCCACCTACTTATTTGTTTAAGCAGTTTGGAGAAAGAAGACAGAGTATTGTAGTTCTGTATAAATATTCACTTTGACTCTCGGCCCACATTGAAGACCTATAAAGGTGCTGAGAGTCACACAGAACCTACTGGCATTTTTTTTTTTTTACTCAAATCCTGAACTAAAAAAAACAACTGATTAAACTTTACTGAACCTGATAAGATGGTAAAACAGATACTGTATAACAATTTTTATGTAAACTAGAGAACAAGTTTATTCACAGATGCAAGCTAATGCTAAATGTGATGAACATATTATGACTAAAGAACTGGTCTTAAAGTCAAAACAGACTGATAAGCTAAGGTTTTTAACATTCTTTTTTTTTGTCTCACTGTTATTTATTTTAGCTGTGATAAACTAGCCTGATATTACTTGTTTTGCAATAGAGGTTATTGATAGCCTTAGCCTAATATTAGCAACATTAACTTATTTGTAGGTGTCAAAGTAACCCAATATTCTATTTTGTTGGGTCAAATCAAATCAGTCCTAAGTCAGGACTTAGGACTGACTTAAGTCCTAAGATTTAGGACTTAGGATTTAGATTATCCAAAAAATCTAATTTTTTGGATAATCAAAAAATGTGATTGTTTGATTATCCAAA